ACGAATACTTCGAACATTTTCCTTAATTATCTACAACTTGAAAACTAAAGTATGTAGGACGTACGTTCATATAACGCTTTTTACTTATTTTAGTATATATATTTATCTCCTAAAAGTATTGGACATGCATTGATATGCATTTATGAATCACCCTGTATGTTACAAATGGAATATAGTTACTAAAAAATATAATTACTAAAAATTACAATAATATTTTTGCTTATATACTTGGAATACTGTTATGACTAGCTCTTTCCATTTTCAAAATAAGTGGCAAGAGATTCTAAAATAGATATCGAAGAAACGCTATCTCTCTCTCTCTAAAAGTTTTTATATCTTCAAATTTTTATCACAATGTTACTTGTATATGGTACTTTTTTTTGATCTAACTTCTGCTCAATGTAACTAAAATAATATTATTTAATGATAATAAAGTATTAGAATGAGAAACTGAGATGTTAAAAAATAGAAAATATTGTTCAAAACATTGAAGCGATACATATTAACAAGTTGAGAAAATATTAAAAAATTAAAATATATCGAATACAACTAAATAATTGAATATGATTAATAATTAAATTCCTCCCTTATTCGCCGTTCCGTGAGTGATTGGCATAAGCAGAATATTTATAATACTGTTTACCAGTTCAGCAGCAATTGCAGTATTTGTCTTTGCGAACTTTGTACTTAAATCTTGCAGACGATTTAGCCTGTTAATTTTTCTTTTCTACACGCATTGTTTCTTGGACTATAAATATAAAATTATTCAAAGTTTTGCATTAAAGTAAATAGTTAATAAAAATGTCAAAATATAGACCTACATTGTATAAATCCAGCAGGTGTGACATCCTTGCCTACATTCATAAATGGTCACTTGTGGGGTGATCATATGATCGGCAAAAAGATTGCGTAAATTAGCGTTCCATCGCTTAGGTGAGTATGAAGGTTGCTTGAAAAGATTTCTTGCTGATGTCAAATGTCCTGTTGCTTTATCTAATTGCTAAAGATAATGAAAGAATCTACTCAGAATCCTTAAAACTTCATTTTGATTAAAATTTTTCTTTTTGAATTTTATTATAAGTCTGTATATGCATCTTTTGCAAATTTATATAATTTAGGAACCTTGCAATGAATCTTTACATCTCGTCGCCATTTCCAGAGCTGTTTGTCAGTTAAAGCAATATTTCTGTCAATAATTTTACTTTGCTTCCAATTCGTTTTAATCAAGTAGCTTGAATGTACTGATTCTATGTTCGGTTGTGTTTGTTGTGGGGGAATTAACATTGTTGTTTCTTTCACAGGTAATTCAGAAGACGATATTGCCACATCTTCTAGAGAGGCAATAAGTTCAATCCTTGCCGCTGCATTCTCAAAGGATAACTGTAAAATAATATACATATATGTATATATATACATACATATATCATACATATATTTTATATATACAGGGTGTCCTGTAAGTTTTTATCAATCGCTTTTGTGTAGATAGAGTGGACTAAACTAAATCGAAGAGTCCTTTACCATTGTGCAAAAAAATAAATAATCACAAAAGCGATTGGCCAAAACTGACGGGACACTCTATATATATAGAGAAAGAATTAGAATTTAAAATTAAATAAAATTAAATAAAAAGTAACACTAAATAATTTGTTAAACAAAAAAAAAAAAGAAAATGGTGTAAAAATAGTTCAATTTCTAAAAATTTTTTGTAACCATTATGTCATGGCAAATGTTCTCGTTTGCCTTCTACTTTAAATCTGAACTTAAAATCACGATGTAAGAATACAAGATATTGCGCATAATGGCAGTTAAATATAATTTTGGGACAATTTTTTTTATTGGTAGTAAATTTCTAATAACGGCTTTATATTGGATTTTAACATTTTGGATTAATTTTTTGATTAGTCGTCAACTATGCATCTTGGAAATAAAACACCCTGTATTCTTATATCGTGCTTAAAATATTCTTATTATATCCTAACGACAATCATTATCAGTACAATCATAAACAAGTACATACACGTTTTTTCTTTGTAGGTGTTTCCGATTGAATTTGTTGCGGCGGTCGGTTTTGTGGAATGAGAGATAATTTATCTTTGGATTTATTTATTTTTTTCGATATATCCATAAGCATTGGACTAAGAGTATCCTGAGATGATTGTCGATGAACTGTTCATTATAATTTAATTGAAATATAATAATACATTTGAGAGTATCATATTTGATATACCATTAACGCATTTACCTTTTGGGAATGTTATCTCAGCCATCTTCTATGAGATGTTTTATTTCTTGTTAATTTATAACTTTTTACAGATCACTAGAAAATCATTAATAGTAAACTATACGTCATTCTTTGTATTAAAGGTATGACATAAATTAATTTTAAAATAATGATATAAAAGTGAAGAAAAATGAAAGAAAATGATTGCACAGAGTATCGTTACTTGTGAAGAATTTTTGCTAAGATTATAAAAAAGTTATTAGATTATAAAAAAGACATAAGAATACAAATACTAAAGTCCATGGCACATACAAAAACATAAGGCAGTAAAACGCAAACAGTAAAAAAATCATAATATTGGAATCGTTATTGGCTTTACAGTCTATTGTGATTGGCCAATTTGTTTACTGCTTACGTTTTACTGCCTTACGCTTTTGTGTATGCTATGGGGTTAATAGTAAGACATCGTCACGTTCAACTATAAATTCCCACTTTCCATCTTTTGAGCAATCAAAATTCAGAGGTGTCATATCTTGCATCTGTGAATAAAAAAGATTTTAATATCACCTAAATACAATAGAAGTGAATAAAATTTACAAAGAGTAAAAGTTTGGAAATGTACAGAATATCATATTTCAAAGAGTAGCAATTTAAGAATACAAATTTGCTAAAGTTACATTAAATCTTACAAAATCTGCATTTACAGTTAATTGTTACTTATCAGGACTTCCATCAGAAAGAGCATATAAGTTTGCTTTCAATTGTATGTTAAGAAAATCTTGAAGCAATTCTATGTCAAACTATTCAATATCTTCAAATACATCAAATCCATCTTTTGCAACAGTGAGAGCTATCGCTTTCTTCTTTGAGGGTAGAATTAAGATTTTTTATTCAAATTCAAAAGCGTCCTCTGAAAAATAACGAAATTATGTAGATTGATGTGGATAGAATACCATACTATATACAGGGTGTTTCTGATCACCAACAGTCAGGACACACTACAAAATTAAGGATTTTCTCGAATCTATTGAGCCTGATAATTTCTTGATCCATAGCATAGTTAAATAATTTTAACCATTTAAAAAAATTGTTTATAACAAATTTATAATATTATTATTTATAACAAGGTTTTAAAATGGTCCCTATTTTATTGCATAACATGGCTTTAGCAATTATGTCATTTGTACTTCGCTGTAGTATCTTTTCATCTACAGTTTATAAGGATTTGATAGAAACCAAATAAGAGATTATGGCTCAATTACACTTTGCCTTTGCAACTGTAAATGAAAATGCTACAGTGAAGTACAAACAACATAATTCATGAGCCACATTATGCATATAATAAAATGGAGACCATAATAAAATGGAAACTTGTTATAAATAATGTTATAAACTTGTTATAAATAATTCGAAAAATAGTTTATTAATTAACTACATTGTGGATCAAGAAATTATTAGGCGCAATAGATTCGGAAAAATCCTTAATTTTATAGCGTGTCCCGATTGCGGGTGATCAGAAAAACCCTATGAAATCAAAATTTATTCTGATAATATTTAACTGACAAAAATGAATTTTCGTTATGCCATATATTAATTGCGACATATACGAATGAAATCATTCTGATTTGTCATTGCCCAACTAAATTCTTACCAGAAAGAAAATTTTTTAATGAAAAATAAAAAAATAAAATAAAATGAAAGAACATTTATTATAAACATTCAAAATTGAGAATATAAATGAAATAATATACCAACCCATGCAACAATTTAATGTCCTTGGATGTCTAAAATATATTCTATCTCATTTACGTCACCATATTGGACGTCCCAAAATGTTATTTGGACATCCCATAATAAAGTTATTTTAAGATATGTAGACATTTTCAGAGTTTGGATCCTCCACTCGAATATACCCAGACATCTAAAGAATATTTAGATTCCTCTTTGGTGTTCCATGGGACGTTCTAATTGTCACTTTATCCATCCGGGAGAGTAATAAAAATCATACAGGTCGGAGCACTAGGGACGCATTCAGATTCCCATCTGAATGTTTCCCTCATGTTATCCTTGTTTAATATTCAATGAATAAGGGCGTGTTCAAATTCCCACCCGAGGACTCCCCAAGTATGGCGTTATCCTTGTTTAACATTCAGTGAATAAGGATAAAAGGGGTAGCATTCAAATAGGAATCAACACAACTCTGGTGGAACGGATGCTGCAGGGTGATGGTGATGTAATACAGACTCCCTATAGTAAAGATACGTATACGTCGCAAAATGCATCGATAATATTGAAATTTTACATTTTAGGTTACGTATACCATAGATTTTTATTGTTTAGGTATACATTTCAGAATTAATGTATTTGGAGGTGTCAGATTCGAAGTTTTAGATGTAAAAGAAGAATTATGTAAATTATAAGAAATAGTCAATTAACGAACCTTAATACTTGATGGATAATTATTTATTCGTAATAAAAATTAATCAATTTAATGATTTGGTTCACACGTAATACAGGAGGTTATACAAAAGTTATTAGGGTTATCATAATTAAAAAAAAAAATTTTTGGAATTCTACTATGTGTTCGATTTTCATATCGAAGTTATTATTCGATAAATCGATTGTAGCGCTACTGCTAACCTATAACCTAATTCAATATACACATTACTTGTAGATTTTCATTATGATAACAAGAAGATCTGTACGTGTGTGCATATATTCTGCAATATTCTATATTTTGTAAATATTTTTATTATTATTTTGTATGACAGACATATGCCAAGACAGCGTATTTATAACAAAAAGGAAAGAAAGATGTGGAATCAGTGGAATCCAAAACGCATGGAAGAAGCCATTATTTGTGTAAGAACCAAAAAATTAGGCTACACAAGAGCAGCAAATATGTTTAAAGTTCCCAGGACCACTCTTCGGAGATTGGTTGCGAGTGACTTGCCACCAGAAGATTGTGTAAATATGAGGTTAGGACGAAAGCCAGTAATACCTCCAGAAATGGAAGCACAATTAGTTGATTACCTACTGGAAATGGAAAACCAATTTTATGGTTTGACAAGAAATGATGTGAAAAAAATGGCTTATCAATTAGCCATAAGAAATAAGTTAAAACATCCTTTTGGACGTAATGAGAAAGCTGGTAGAGCTTGGTTTGATCAATTTATAAGAAGACATCCAACATTAACTATTCATAGTACATCATCCAGAGTGGCAGGTTTTAACAAAGAATTTATGTCTGCGTTTTATAACATTTTGGAAAATATATACAAGAAACACAACTATAACCCTGATCGTATATTTAATGTGGATGAAACCGGATTCTCTATAGTACAGAGTGAAATTCCACACATAATATGTCTAAAAGGAAAAAAAGAGGTAGGTTATTGTTGTAAGTTCTTTTAGTTCTATTATAAGAGGACCTTTTAACAATTATTTGTCTGATGAATATAGGTTGATTTGCTCACTGCTGTAGAAAGAAGCTCTCTCATTACAGTTATTTATTGCATGAGTGCAGGAGGAACATTTGTCCCACCAATGCTAATATTTCCCTGTAAAAATATGTCAAATATTCTAATGAAGGGTGCACCTATTGGATCTATTGGTACATGCCATCCATCTGGATGGGTTCAAACCCATTTGTTTACAGAGTGGTTTCAACATTTTATCAAAAAGATAAATCCTACGAAGGAATCTCCTGTTCTTTTAATTTTGGATGGTCATTACTCTCATACGAGGAACTTAGACATAATTGATATTGCACGCAAAAATTATGTTACTATTTTGAGCATACCACCTTATACTACACATAAAATGCAGCCTTTAGACCGCACATTTATGGAACCATTCAAACAATATTATAGTGAATATATTCGTATTTGGCAACGTGAGAATGAACGACCAGTGGGATTGTATGACATAGCTGAGCTTTTGGGAAGAGCTTATCTTCAATGTCAAACAGGTCTAATCGCTGCTAATGGTTTTAAAGTTACTGGAATTTATCCATTTAATCCATATATTTTTTCGGATAGTGATTTTATTGTATCCATTCCAGTAGAAGAAAATCCTACAAGTCCTATGTCATCTACAAAACAGATAATTGCTACTACGAAGCGTCATGATCAACAAATAGAAGAAAATTTTGCACAACCAAGTTGCTCTAAAGATTGTAAGATAGAACAAATAACAACTTCTGTATCGCCTAAAGAAATATAGCCAATTCCACAAATTAAATCAAGAAAATCTACTCGAGACCGTAAACTTTCACAGGCAATCATTATAGAGTCTTCATATAAAAAAACATGACAATCCTTAAACAATTCAGATACGAAAAAGTCTACAAAGAATTCTGCACCATCCAAAAGGAATGTGTAGAAATGTGGAAGAAAAAGAAAACTTGGAAGATGTTAATAAAGAATCTGACTCTTTTTGTATAAAATCTGAATTAGAACTTCCACCTAATGAAGCTGTTCTGACTAAAGAAGGTACGACCTGTATTTTCTTTTATGGATTATTTTTGGATGACTAAAGGAGAGATATGGATTAAATGTATAATGTGTGACATGTGGGCACACATTGCTTGCTCTAGAGTTGAAAACGAAGACTATATTTGTGATTTTTGCAAATAATTTTATAAAAAGCAAAGTTTTTAAATTAAAAAGTAAAGGTTTTTATTTTATATATTAGTTTTATAAGGAAACTTTTCAATTTGGTTAGATAAAAAGCTAAACAACTAAGCAAAAAATCTAATCAACAATTTATATTTAATTTAAAAGTTGATTTAAAAGTTTAAAAGCTTTTAAGCTTTCTTGTTCAATATTTTATAACTTTATAAGAAAAGCTTTTCAATTTTATTTAGACAAAAAATTAAACAACTAAAAAAAATCTAATCAATTTACATTTGATTTAAAAGTTTAAAAGTCTTGAGCTTTCTTTTTCAATAATTCAATTTGGTTTAAAAGTGTAAAAGTTTTGAAGTTTTACACTTTTTTAAAAATAAATATATAATTTTCTAATAAAATACTGTGTTATTAAAGCAAAACTAATTTTTTAAATCTATTTTTGTGGGAGGGCCACATTATCATCCCTGTTCTTCTTTGACATTATACAGTATCATTATATTTTTATAAATAATGTGCTAAGTAATAAATGTTTCGTAATTTTGAGTCTAAAATCGATTGAACAACATTTTGACGAATATAATCGTTTTAAATTTAAATGTTGATTATTTATTACATTTTATTGTATAAAATGTAAATAGGGTGCCATAATATCATCTTTTCTATGTATATAATATCATTGTTTTTTACTTTATGTTCTCACTTATTATGTTTTTACTTATTTGTCATTTTAATATAATTTTATTTTAATGAAATATTATGTACACTTAGGGCCTGCGCACAATAGAGGAACAAGAATTAGATATTAAGATTTCAACTTATCAGAAACCGTGTATTTCGATATAATCAGTTTCTGATAAATCTTAATATCTAATTCTTGTTCCTTTATTGTACTCAGGCCCTTACATTTACATTTTGATGCATAAAGCTGGAAACACAATGGACACAGGCAATAGGCATAGGCAACAGGTAATAACGAGCCGTCCAATCAGAGCTTTGGGATATAAGTTCGATATTATATCCCAGAGTTCTGATTGGACGGCTCGTTGTTGCCTGTGCCTATTGTATTTCCAGCTTTACGATTATATATTTAGAATATTAAAACCGTAGAATCTCTCTCTCATGGAGAATAGGTTTGTTCGCGTTGCATGAAATCCCCAAATATTTTTGCATTAAAAATGAGATAGATACATATTTTGTCTTATAGCGTTTTCGGCCCGATCGGGTTTGCACCAACCTGGGTTGGATTAATTTTTCCTATTGGTTGACGTCACCCGCTCTACCAATAGGAGAGCACAAAACGCCATTAATCTAACCCAGGTTGGTGCGAATCTGGCCGGACCGAAAACGCTATTAAAAAGAGAGAAAACGAAAATGCCGAGTGCCAAAAGTGCAAGCAACGCGAACAGACCTAATAGGAGGTCGAACTAGGCATGATAAAAAGACAAGGGTATGCTCATGCGCATGACCAATCAGATTTTTGTCCTTGCTTACGTCACAACGAGTGGCTTACGCCACTGTTCAGCAATTTCAGATTGTTTTGGAAAGATAAAATATTTAATTTTACTTCCCTCAGTTTTTTTTGTTTTTTTCATATAATTGCCGCATCCTTTCACTATGCAGGTCATCGTGAAAATATTTTTAACATTAACTTCTACCGATGACAACGTGCACTACGCCATGGACGCCATGATAAATTACGACCGATAACCACCGATTGCACCCGAATCAGAACCGACCAATCAACGCGTACCCGAATATGACGTAGGCAAGGACATGCGCAAGCTGAACGAGTTTTAGACAATTGATGAGCATACCCTTGTATTTTTATCATGGAACTAGGCTTTGAAAAGTGTGGTCAAATCAAGTTCCTAAATTGGCAATGGTGGTGCTTGGTAGGCGGTGTTCGAATCGCAAAATTCCTAAATTAGATTGTTAAAGTACCGCAATTAATTTCAGAAATGTCGCGTTCAAATGGCCGAAGTGCACATAGTACACGATTCAAAGTACATCAGGGTTCAGCTTTGGGTTAATTGGGCTAGCAGCTAACCTAATCTAACCCTAATCGTACATTTTCGAGACATTTTCAAGCGTCAATCTCGAGGTTGAAGTCACAAATTCATCATCATTTGTTGATATTAACACAATAAAAACCTCTTAGAGGTTTGTACTTACTGTACTTACATGTGTTCTTCGTGCACTTTTATGTACAAAACTTCTACGACAAATAAATCCGTATTAAACTAAAGAACACATAAATCGAGCATTCGTCACTGAACTATGTAACACTGGAATGGGCATCTCTGCTGTGATGCATAGAAAATCGTGGCCGCGATTGATCACCCGCCATTTTGGCTGGGTCAAATGCCTGAACAAATCAAAAGCTTTCAGGTGCTCATGCGCACTTACGTTTAGTATTTTTTAGTAAGACGTAAATTCTTTATAGGGGAAAGTTGCTGAATGCGTACCACTTAACGTATTTTTTATTATATTTCTCATTTAGAACTG